TTTAATGTCATGTCCTGCTGTTTGGCATTCTTTACACCATGTAAAAATATATAGCCTAGATTTTTTTATATATATATATATATATGTAAATATAATACCTGCAGGTTTTAAGTATAAATAAAACACAAATTCCCACCAAAATTGCCCACTCTAGATTCAAATTCAAAAAAGCTTGAATGAAACATTTGTTATTATTTTGATGACAGACAGCTTGTGTAAATTTCCCATCATGCACTGAGAGTAGTTTTTTGTTGTTGTTGTTGTTGTTGTTGTTTGTTTCATTAGGTTTCATTACATCACTATTAATTCTATGTGTTATTACTTTATTTATGCATCTCGGGCTTTACTTACTGAACTTTCTGCCTGTTTTCATTACTGTTTCTCAGAGATAAAAAGTATATGCCAATTACAATTCTGTCATTTTTTACTCACTCTTTGGTCAACAATCACCTATCAAACTGGTATATTTGAAAGAATTGACCACTTTATATGAATTATGTTATTAACTGATGTACATGACCTGTTTAGCAGGAAAAGTAGTCGATTCTTACCGCGTGCAGTTTCAGAAACATTTGGCGGCAGCGGCGTTGTGTGAAGACCTTGGTGTGTGTGTGTGTGTGTGTGTGTGTTCGTCAAATTCCCATGGTTCCTGCCAAAATACCATAGTTTCTCACTACGGGACGCTTGATGGCTCAAAAAGCTGAATCCTCCAATCCGGTACATATTTGTGGACGTTTATTGTCTTTTTTAGACATTTGCCTACAAATATAATACATAATATTAACAGCAGTCTATTAAATAAAAAATATAAATAATATAATGCACGTTTCTTCTTATGTTATTCTAGAGTGAAGAGTTTGACAGAATTTACGATGTGTCATTGTACCCACAAGGTGGAGCAAAAAGCTCACAATAAGACTCATTAAGACACATTCATGGTTTACAGGAGCTATTTGCTGTGTAGATTATTTTAGTAATAAAATAAAATAGAGAAACAAACATTGATGACTAATAGTAAAGCTCCTTACATGCAGTGACTTTTACAAATAAGTATGTATATATACAGTAGATCTAAAGTGACACCAGATTATCCGATTTAGAATTATGCTGGAGGGAAAAAAATAACACAGATTTAAAAAATGAAATAGCTCATGTTTCTGTGTTGTGCAAATACATTTTATACCTAACATGGAAGAGGAACCAAGCCAAACTTCATTCCATAGTTATCTTCTGGCAAAATTTCCCAAACCCCCAAAGTTCAGCCCAGTTTCACAACAGCAAATTATTCAAAACATGACCATCTATGACGCGTAGGGCCCTACAGGCTTTAACACTGACTCCACAGTTATAAAATATGAAACACTGACATCAGCACTGATCACCGAGAGACGTGACACACTGAGCCAGGAATATATTCTTAGCAGATGTCACATAACTTAACAGAGGAATAATTAAGGTATTCACTGAAATACAAGTCAAAATTACATTTAGATTTTTGCAATAGCAAATAATTAAAAAACTCATTTGAAATCAATGTCAATGGGTGATTCTTCTACGGATTTTTTGGTATAATTTATTATTCATATTAATATTTTATGAAATATATCGTTTTAATATTTGTATTATTTACCGTATATATTTTTATGGACTGTTTTTTAATGTATAATCAAATTTTCACTTCCAAGTATATTTTTGGGCAATTCAAACCAGTCAAAGCAGTTTTTACAAGTGTGAGTAGCATTTAATGTCAGTGTAACTATGTCAGATATATTGTTTCTTTTGTAAACAGATGTTCACTGTATGCTTTAGTATGTTACAGGCAAACGAAACCACAGCTTCTGTTGTAACAGAGTTTTTCATCGTGGGATTCCCTGGACTCCAGCCCAAATACTACAGCCTGATGGCAGCGTTTTTGCTCTGCATCTACATCGCTGTAATCACCGGAAACTCCCTCATTGTGGTCCTGTTTGTGATTGAGCGCAGCCTCCAAAAGCCCATGTACATTATCATGCTGAGTTTATCCTTGTCTGATATTGGTTTTTGCACAGTTGCTCTGCCAAAAGTCATTTCTCGCTATTGGTTTAATGATGGTTATATTGGCTTCTACGTTTGTCTGTTTCAAAGGCAGCTGATTCACTATTTTGGTACCCTGAACTCTCTTATTATGATGATCATGGCACTAGATCGGTACTTGGCGATCTGTTACCCGCTAAGATACCCTGTTTTAATGACTAACCGCACTATGAGGCTTCTAATAGGGTTTTCCTGGGTTACTGCGATGATTGCTCCAACCATTAGCTTAATGCAGACAGTGAAGCTCCCATTCTGTGGGCCAAACACGATCATTCATTGCTTCTGTGATTCTCTATCTATGAACCAGCTGGCCTGTGCTGATGCCACCCTCACAAATCTCATTTCATATGCTGTAGCAATGTTTGTGCTTCTTGTGCCATTGTCTTTCATCATATTTTCCTATTTAAGTATCCTGGTGTCTGTACTTCGAATTGCAAACACACAAGGCCGAATGAAAGCCTTTTCTACCTGTGCAACACAGCTGACTATCATTGCCATCTATTATGTGCCCCGTTTTGTGGTTTACACCACTTCTAACATCCCAAACGCTCAGATGAACAGCAGTCAGAAGATCGCCCTGGTCATGTTCTACAGTCTGCTTCCACCTGTAGTGAACCCCTTCATCTACTGCATCAGGATCAAAGAAATCAGACAGTTCTTTATCAAATGGTGTGTCCACAGAAACAGGATCGTCAGTAGGTCATTAACTATTTCTAAATGAGATGACCTGACTGTTAGATGTTCTTATGCACCTTATCACATGAAACTGATATGTTATTGTTATGCAGTTATGTGCTGTTGTTATGCATTTACAATATTTGTTATTATTATAGTCATTTTCTTTTGCATAATAATAATATTATGTATTATAAAAAATGTGGAAGGCCATTTATTACTCACTGAACGGATCAATAGGCAACATATGCAGTCAATTACAGTGGGTAATTAGACTTCAATGTTAATTAAAAAATGCTAAGAAGAATAAAACATATATATGGAAAGTTGACATGTCCTGTGGTTTGACATGTTATACTCCATGTACAGTAAAACTATTTTTTAAATGAATATTGTGCATGATTATTAAAAGACTACATTAAATATTTCCGATTTTAAAAATTCATTTGTCACACTGCCAGGAAAATGTATAATTTATAGCATATTATACATTTTAATTAGAAATAAATCATAAATCCCCTCATGTCCACCATTGATTAATATTACGGAAAGCTTTAAAATGACAGGAATTAATCAATATTGTTATTATTTTGGTGACATGGGCAGAGCATGTAAATTTTCCAGTATGCACTGCAAGATTTTTACTTTTTGTTTTGTTCAGATTGCTATTAATATGATGTTATTATGTTTATTTGGTTAAGGTTGGTTTTTACTGGTTTTCATTTGTGTTTCTAATAAATTAAAAGTACATCTTGTGTTCTGTTTCGCTGAAAGAAATTAGAATTATCAAAATCTTATCAAACTGGTAAATTTCAAAGAATGGTGCGCCTCATTTCAATAAAGTAATATTAACTGATTCACGGGGGGCGGGTGGACAGATTCTTATTGCGTGTAGTTTGAGAAACACGTGCAGGAAGTTGTTTTGTGTAGAACAGGGGTGCCCAAACTCGGTCCTGGAGGGCCGGTGTCCTGAAGAGTTTAGCTCCAACCCCAATTAAACACACCTGAACCAGCTAATCAAGCTCTTACTAGGCATACTAGAAACTTGAAGGCAGGTGTGTTGAGGCGAGTTGGAGCTAAACTCTGCAGGACACCGGCCCTCCAGGACCGAGTTTGGGCAGCCCTGGTGTAGAAGGCCGGGATGTGTGCTCTTGAGGTTCCCATGGTTACCGTGGTTTATCGTTAGGCATTCAAATACCTTATTAGATACATGTTTTATATGAATTATAAATCGTGCATCTTGTATTTTTCCTGGCATCAAATTAAAATAAAGTCCTTAAAAAGTGTTTCAAATGAGACCAAAACTTGTTTTCCACCAGGTGTTGCTTGGTACTCGGCGCTTAAGTCAAATCTTCATTATATTTAATTTTTCTTATGTTAATTAATTTATGCACAAAATTAAAATGAACAATATCAACAATAATAAAACCTAATAAATAAATATAAAACATATAAACAGTTTGTGGCCAAATCTAAAGAATCATTTAATGACAGACTTCAAGCATGGCGGTCTGACCTGCAGGCTGATATAACTGAGGAAGAGTGGCAAATAGCATGTTTAAAAGCCCAAACTCAGACAATGAGTACCCATTTGAGACTGCTTCAGTATAAATGGTTGAGTAGACAATATATCACTCCAGTTAAGTTACATCACTTCAACCCGAATATTCCTGATATATGCTACAAATGTAAACAAGAGAAGGGAACTTTATTCCATAAATGTTTTTGGGTTAAAATAGTAAATATTATTAAGTCAAATCATTGGTAAAGTAATTCCTCTTGATCCCAGGTTGTGAAATTTACCCACAAGGTGGCGCAAAGAGATCACAATAAGAGATATTTAACGCTTATGGCAAGTTTTTGGAAAGGCCTCCTTGAAAAGAGGCTAACATTGATGACTAGTAGTAAAGTACCTTTTGGTAAACACCTTTTAGGAATAAATACACTATTTAATCACTTTTTAATTAAGTCTCTTATGTTCATCTAAGCTGCATATAATTTATATGCTGAATTTCTGAAAAATACAGTGAAATTTATACTGAGAAATGAAATATACAGAATTAATACACATTACTTACGTGTGTTTTCTCAAGTGTTGTAAGAAGTAAAAACATAAACATAGAATAGAATAATAAAAATACAGAAAAGTGCGAAAAAAAATAGTTTTGATTAGATTACATTACCTTATATAAATTTTGCCCACTCAAACTCACTATAAACAATCTGAAGGTGAACACAGCAAGCAACAAGTATTTCACTTCAATATTCTGGATTCTTTATTCAGTTTATAGATGTATTTGCATTTGTAGTTTAGAGAATGAGAAGCATTAGTTTATTTACAATCTTTTTTAAAAACTTCAGCTCTGTACAGTATGTATTTGAACCCTGATAAGGACCAATATTTTTCAGACCTAGTGCGGTGTTAAAAAAGCAAAAAGCAAAGACCACATAAAAAGAAAAAGGAAGAAAAAAACATATCAAATTATGAACATTTGAAGAAAAAAATAAGAGAACAGTAATTTCTTCAGCCATTAGAGAGGGATTTGCTGCTATTAAAGTACATGAAACTGTCACTGCTCCAAATGCTAATGTGCTAACTGTTTTGAGACTATCATACACTAAACACCAATATATATATCAACAATCTATAGTTATGTTCTCTATAAGATTCATATTAAATATACTCTACACATATGTAACCTTCGAATACAATTCCCATTTGGAAAAATATTAAAAAGGGAGGAGGGGAAAGAAATATTACACCAATTTAGAAACGAAACAGCTCATGTTTCTGTGTTGTGCAAACAAATTTTATATCTAACAAGGAAGGGGAAATAGAAACCGAGCCAAACTTCATTTCATAGTTATCTTCTGGCTCCAAAAGCAAGTATTAATTTACACCACTACACTTAGAAATTAAAGGGATAAATCTTATTACCTTTCCTGAAAGAGAGCAGCTCAGATCTATCTAAAGAGGCCAGAAGCAACACTGATTGACTGTCAAAACACAGTCGCAAATGTTACCGTTACTCATTACACATATTTTAGACTTTCCACGAGTGAATCCAACCAACTTCTGGAGATCTACCTGCAAAGTCCCGACTGTGCTCAAACACACCTGAACCGGCTAAAATCGAGCACTTCTGGGGTACAGGAACTTGTTAAAGCAGGACACTGGATCTCCAAAACATTAATGGGGCATTTAAAATGCACGGAAATGTATAATAAACATTTCTAAAACATTCATCAGGCACATCAATACTTGTTCTCCTGCGCTGAAATCAACAAGACTATGTGTGGAGATTAGCATTTGACGAAAACAGTCCAGGAGGGCGACTGTAGCGGAGGTTAATCCGTCGGTGAAGCGAGTGCTATTATTTCAGACGTAGGCGACGGCATGCCTTTCCACCTCCGCACCAGATCTGAGCCAAGCCGGGTGAGCGCGTGGCGAGTCGATAAATGTGAAAAGTTCGTCAGACCCTGTGTAAATTTATTTCCCCCCTCACACGTCTCCCTCCTGAGAGGAAGAATCAAGCGCCTCGGCTGAGGCAAACGAGTCTCATTTTCCTCACTGAATCATTCATGTAACTATGTGCAATAAAAAACAGAAACGAAGGCCTCCTCCATGTGCAAACTGGCAGAAGGGGAGGAGTGTGTGTGTGTGTGTGTGTGTGTCTGAATGAGTTACAGGTCTGTTGGAGTTCATGGATGCACGTGAAGGTGTTAGAAAGGGTGGAAATGTGTGTGTGAAGGTGGGATGTATTTTCTTTTCAGATTTTTTGGCATTTTTTGGCTTAAATATGGTCTATGCAAAGCCGAAATGTTCTCTGATCCGTGTCTCGCCCTCTCTCTCAGGTGATTCTTTCCTTTACAGGTGAAGTTAATCTCTTGTTCTGGTTAGGTGCTCGTGGGAGTCAGGTGTGATTAGTTGTGTTTAAGCAGCATGGGCGAAGGGTGACAGGACACACTCGTTCTGAGGGATGAAGGGATGTATTTACAGGATCACACAACAGTTGCTCTCTCCAGTCTTTTCCCGGTTCCTCTGACCTGAAACAAAAACACAGAAGCTTAATACTATTGCACAAAAACAAACAATGGTGCTGTTCTGAAACCTACTGCCTATCTAGACAGCATTTTAAGGCATCACAGAAATTCTGTTCTTAAAGAGGTAGGCAACATAATTATGTTTCTTTCCAAGATGCATATTTCATTCTGCATATATTCTCTACTCAGAATTAATCCTTGACAAGCATTCGATATAAAACGGTATTGTTAATACTACTAATAATAATATTAATAATTAATAATAATATTGTTAATTACTATTTTAGCAAATAATTATGTGCCATGTACTGTATTTTTATGCTTATTCGAGTACTACAGAATTAGCTTAACAAAATCAGTTTTCTGTGCATTTTCGTGTGAAGGAGCATGTAAAACACTCCAAATCGATCACATATGAGGTTCTATTTCAGTGACTTAAAAGGCAGCTACCCATGTAGGCAGCAAACAGCATGGAAGCTCACTAGGGTTTGGAACAGAGCCATGGTCTTCAGTACTGATAAATAAGACAGCAGGACCTAGCAAAGATTCTGTCAAATAGGGGTGTGAACCTACACTGGTCTCACGGTTCGTTTCGATTACGATTATCATGTCATTGATTCAGTTCAATTCGATATCACGATGCATTTCATATACTTTCTTATACAGACATTGACAAACCCACTTAATCTTTTATTGTTGCTTGAGGGATGGCCAAACAAATAAAAAAATGCTTCCTGTTCACGCCCAAAGAATTTCCTCTCCTCCCGGTTTTCTCTCCCTGATGACAGGTCTGCTGGCCAGTGTTTTCCTACATTCATAGTCTGCTCCTTTCCTTCCAAGCTCCATGAAAAACTCGCTTCCGCATTCTGGGAATATTTTTAAGTCAGAAAACTCTATTCACGACTTGAGAATAGTAACATTTAGGTGTATTGGGACTGGGAGCTGAATTTTTGGGTACATCCTTACAATCAGCTGAACTATGATGGAATCGAACCGCACTGCACCCTGGCTTGAAATAAACCAAGACAAAGCCAAAATAAATATCTGTGCCGTCATAACAGTCCACTGGGACACAGCGGATTTACCTGGCAGAGAAAAAGCCAAGCAACTTCTTATCTGTCAGACCCATGATTCTGGACTGGGAGGAATAGGGCTGGGTATCAAGTTCGATACTTTTTAGGAACCAACCGAATTGCCTCGATACCATCGAGTATCAAAAAATGACTTGTCGTTCGGTACTAAATTTTGATACCTAAGGGGTTAATCTCAGCAATGTCAGTGAGCCAATAAGCATGCAGCATGCTTGATGTGCCTAAATCAAGTGCTGGTGATTGGCTCTGGTGAGGCATCAAGGAAAAACTCGGTGTTTTAAAATGAAAACAATCCTCGTCCATACTGGCATTTCCACTGTGTTTTAGAAAAGATCTCCGTCCACACTACATGACCGAAAACGCATGTTGCATCACTGTTTATGCACACTATAGCATCATGCTCTATAAGACAATTTTATAAGATTTATACTACGCTTTTACTCAAAACTCACTTTAAAACATCGAGTGTTTGTAATAACTTCTGATTGTGATCTAATGTGTGTTTTGGCCATATAATGTTGCTGAAATATGCGATTTGTAGCCTATTATATCAAGCTAATCGCTACACCTGCTTAGCATTTCTCATGTAAACACCCTGTATTGTTATGAAAATAGGCAGAATCCCATGAAAATCACGTACAAATCATATACTGTCGTAATCGAGTGTTTATTAGCTTCATGTTTCATCCGTGGAAATGTTTTCCTGGGTTTCTTATGTACAGAACTGAATGCGGAAGTGTAATGGATGTTCGTCATAGGAGACAGGGCGAGTTATGAACGCTTAATACGATTGACATATGAGCAGCGAATGATCTTCCTCTGAGTCAGAACAGCGATCGCGGAAGAGAAAATACAGGCAGACAGCACTAGAAACAGCTAATGCTCATCAGTAAATTCATGGAAAATGAATAGAAATTATTATTCTGTCTGAGCTATGTGTTTTAAAACAAAAACGCACTAGTGTAAACGTAGCCTAAAAGATGTGGAAACTGAAAATCGATATTGACAATTTTTGAATGATACCCAGCCCTAGTGAGGAATGATTTCCATTTTCCATTTTCCATCGGATGTCCATTTTCCACAAGTTGGTATGATTCTTTAGGGTCTTCATGAAATGTCTTTAACATACTTAAGAAACCTAACTAAATGCAAAAAAAGTGAAAATTTCATCCGATGTTCCCTTTAATAAAAAATTTACAGAAACAGAGCATGTGTGATGTTATATTATTAATGGTAATGAGGAGTGTGGGAGGGCGGCTCACCTCCTAGCGTCACATTGCCGTGTAGGAATCGGCCCTGGTAGATGAGGCGCAGGATGTTTGGACTGCTCACTTGCTCCTCTTCCCAGTCTGTTTAAGACAGAACAACTTAGAGGAATTGTACACAAAATATACAAATTTTGTGATTGGTTACAGCGTCATTTTCAGCAGTGCAATTCATGAGAAACACAAAAGGAGAATTTCCATAAAAATCATGAGAAAGAGACCAAAATTTCAGTCATACACAGAAGACAGATAATCATCCAGGTTAGGAATGACATGAGGGTGAGGAAATGATGACAGTATTTTACTTTTTGAGTGAACTGTCCCCTAGAAACACACTAGTCTGCACACCTCCATGCTACTGCTTCCTTAGTTTTTCACTTTTTTCTTTCTCTTCATTCATTTATTCATATGACCTACCCGTCCCTTTCTCACTCTTGACTCAATCAGTCACAAGACTCGAGTGAGGGTCATTCTGTGTCCTCATAAGGTCAAGCTCCACTGTGCTTGTATGCTATGAATAAAACTCTGATTCAATCCCGGACCACCCCGATGGAGTTTACGAACTATACAACAAAGAAGGCCTTTCTTTTTCCTCGCTTTTTCATCAATATTCTTTTTGACAATTAAAGGCTGATGACTTTCATAAGAGCTATTCAAAGCAAGAAATTTAAATAAAATTACTTTAACCTTGAATTCCCTTAGAGGACAAATTATGGGGCAAGAAAACTCATTCCTGCAGAAAAAAAACAGCCTAAACAGCCTAATATGGTTTGCTGGTCTCAGACTGGTTTAAGATGCATGGTTTAGGTGGTCAGTCACTCAGAAAACCCTTCTAATGCTAGCAAACCAGACTCATCTAACCAGCTTGACTAGGCTTGGAGTCAGTCTTTTTT